CATCGAGATTCACAAAGTGCTGCGCCTGCCACGAAATCTGCACATCGGAGATCCAAAATGAGCAAATTGCACGAGGCTTTCGCAAATTTTGAAATGCGTTTCAGAAATGCTGTGCCTGCCACGAAATCATGCCTGCAGGTCATACGAAATGCTGCACTGGCCACGCAAAAGCATCCTCAATTCAAATTCCAAAAATGCGACCCCTCTCACGAATTCAGCCGTTTCACCTCAAAATATCGCATCCATGGTGCGGATTCCCGGCGCCTGCCACGTGAAACGCAGTCCTGCGAATGACACACGCCTGCCAACGTTTTTGCAACGTCCACAAAACACTGCGCCTGCCACGAAATTTGCAAAGTCTCCGATTCCTTGCGCCTGCCACGTAAAATGACCTTTTCGAGGCTCCAATGTGTCGAATTCCTTGCGCCTGTCACGCAAAATGCACTTCATGTCCGAAAACGAGCACGGCGTCTGCACGAGAGCTTTGTCCCGCAAGCGCGAAAACCGCGACACCCACTTTATGCGAGCCTGCGCAGTCGAAATGGACATGAGGAATTCAAAAAGTAACTTTTGTGCGAGCCGGCCCACGCAAAATGCCGGGGCCACACGCGCGAACCCTGGTCTAAACCCGGCCCTTAACTCTTACCGTAAGAACCCCTTAGTGCGGAGCACTATTTGGGGAACAAATCAGGAGATAGGAGAAAAACAAATCAGGAGAGGGGTGGAGATACTAAATAATATATATATTATATATGCAGAGAGAGAGTGGTGGAGAAATCCTGGTAAAAAGCAGTATATCTTATATATATTATATATATATAGAGAGAGTAGTGGAGATTTCTTTGTATAAAACAAAAAACATATATATATATATAGAGACGTTTGCTTTGCTTGTGTTGTTTGCTGTGTGTGGCTTTGTTTGCTGGTTTGTTTGACAAGACAGCTCATGGCAAGGCAGCTGCAACAACACATTTCAACCATTGCAAACTGATTGGCTTTACCCCTGACCGCACACAGCCCCTTGTGAATTTGATCTTATGTCCCTGGCACTTGTCTCTTGCCTTTCCTTTTGCTTTCTAATTCTTTTGGTGCTTTCTTGGTGTACTAATGATGGTCGTTTTCCAATTGGGTTTTCCAAAACTTTTCAGGGTTCAGGCTTTATAAATTCTTTTAAAAACCAATAAAAACAATCATTTGAAAAGCTCACAAAGGGTACCCAAGGGCTGGTCCCCCACAAATAACCTGCACTACAACCACCTATTCAGTTGATCCTATGTGCCTGGCACTTATTGTAGAAACTCACTTGCCTATTGTTTTCCTTTTTGCTTTCTAATTCTTTTGGTGCTTTCTTGGTGCACTCATGATTGTTGTTGTCCAATTGGGTGTTCAAAAACTTTTCAGGGTTCACGCTTTATAAGCCCACTTTTAAAGCCAATAAAGAACAATCATTTGACAAGCTCACAAAGGGTACCCCTCACAAGGGCCGGTCCCCCACAAATAATCTGCACTACCACCACCTATTAGTTTGATCCTGTGCCACTGGCACTTTCCCTTTAATGGTTATATTTAGTTACAAGAATGACAGCTTATGGCAAGAAAGCTCATGACAAGAAAACTTAAAGCGCATCCGCATTCTTTTGCCTCGCCTCTACCTTGAGCTCATCCTGCTGTTTCACGCTTTCTGTGTTGATACCTGCAGTGCTTCTCTTGAACGTTTTTCTGATTTGCCTGGCCTTCCCTCATGGCTTCCTCCCAGAAGGCCCCTCCCATCATTGCTGCTTCTGCCTCATGGTCCTTTGCCTCATTGCCCTCAGCCTCCTCAGCCCTTTCTAGGTCACCCCAAAGAAAGCTCCTCCCATTTCATTTGCCCCATTGCGCTCATTTGCTGGTTTGGCATCCTTTGTCATGTGTCTCCTCATCTTGTGGCTAATCCTGCTTTTTGTCATGAGCCGCCCAAACGCCTTAGACCTCATCACCCTCATGTTTGAGATCATTGCCCTGAGCTTTTTTGCAAGCATCATGTCTTGTTTTGGCTTACTGCACTCAACACTCTCATCATTCCAAGCTCCATCTTGCGTAAGCTTGAGGCGCTCATTGATCTCAAAGTCAAACCAACGCTGCTCACCAAGCTCATGGGCCTTTGGCGCTCATAGATTTGATCTATCAAATGGTTGGCGCCAGTAAACGTATGCTTCATTAGCACTGTGCTTTTTCCAACTCTCACGTCATCAGCCCTCATGTCAAAACCCTAATGGTATCGGCTCGTGACTCATGACCATTGGTTTTCTCATGCCACCCCATCTCTTTCATAGCCGTCCAACCATGCCAAGATGCAGCCTCATGGTGCTCTTATTATAAAGGCAGCACCAGCCATAGACTCATAGAGCTCATCCACTGCATCCTCAAGACTCACCCCACCATGAAATTGAAATCTCATGTCATCA